CTAAATAATCTTAAATGGAAAAGTTTTCACTAAAATGTTGTAGATCTCATTGAGATATAGTACAAGTTTGGTATAAGTTTTATTTTCATCCAACTTTTTATGGAAAAGTTAGATACGAATACATATTTTTGTAAAATTGATTTTCACTAACAAACGTCTTAAGCGCCCGCTAGTGAAAATCAATTTTCACTTGCGGATGCTTATGTCGTCGTTTGCCAGTAAAGATAATGTGATTTTCACTAGTGAATGCTTATGTTATCCGCTAGTAAAAATAAACGTGACTTTCACTAGCGGCATTATTTTTAGTCTGCCTGAAAAAGTTAAAGGAAAGTGCCATGAAAAATCTTTTTTATGTCCCCCACTTGATATAACCTTAATATTTAACCACAACGAAGGACTTCTTTGAAAGGCTGAAATTAATTCCATTGCGGGATTATTTTAAGAAAACAATTACTTTAATTCAGGTAAGGTAAGGATGAAAAGAAATTCCTGCATTACGGAGGTAGCCAGGGGTAAAGAAACCAGTTATTAGGTGGAAAAGAAATTCCTGCATTATAGAAAAGAAACATAGCATATTTTGAAGAAAGAAGACATTTTTATTAGGTGGAAACCAGTTACTGAATGTTTGGAATCTATATTTTTTTAAAAAGACTACATTTCATAAAACACACCTATTGTGACACATAACAATAGTTTTATTGTCATAAAGTTGTAGAAATGGTACGTGACACATAACACTAGTTTTATTGTCAATTTGTCATAAAGTTTCTCAAAACCACTCTATTAACTAATTTGACATACTCTTATATCAAAACTTTAAAAATCTTTACTCACATAGATTCCACGTAACATTTATATGATGGATAAAAAAAACTCATAAATTTAGGATGTCATTGTGGAAAGAACTCAAAAGAATAGTAGAATAAAGTTAAAATAATCAATAGTTTTGTTTTGTAAATTTTATGGTCACAATACATAGGATTATATATCATGGGTCAAAATCTATATGATTTGTGCAACTTAGATCACGATACTCAGGGATGCGTGAAATTTAGTGTAAAAAAGGTTGACTTTGGTCATGAGGGAAAATAATACAAAGCATAACTAGCAAATTCATTCATATTCAAAACCAATAGGTTCTCCTTTGCAAATAAATAAATAAATAAATAAATAAATAAAAAGGCAAAATTTTTTATGTCCTTTCACAAGTCAAGTCATGTTGTGTGTACTTTAGTTTGGCAGGTGCCCTGATATTTCGTTTCGTGCTCTCTTTCTTCGCAGCACGTTCTGCGTGTCGGGGAGACGTACATCACACAGTAAGGGCATTCGCAGTGAGTGTATCCCACGTATTTGTGGAGCCTCAGCTGTCACCTAACCTAGACGTACGAGTCTAAAATCTTGTTCACTTTATATTTCAGCCACTACACTTTTTATCAGTTCTCATAGTCTTTTTTTTCAATTTATGTGAAGGTCCAAAATTTACAATAAACACCCTAAAATCTAGAAAAAAAATATTTAAACCTCCTCCTTTTCTCTGGGATCTCTCCCTCAGCTCAACAAATCACCGCAACTCCTCCGCTGGCCACACGCTTTCCTTCCTCCATTTTCAGCCGCCGCGCCTCCCCCTCCTCCGGCGCCTCTCCCTCCCCCACCGGCGGCACCTCTCTCCCTCCCTATCTCCATAGCTTGACCGAGCTGGTTTCGCCGGATCCAGCCTGAAAGTCACCGGATCTGACCTTGGGAAGTGGCGGGAGCGGCTCGACGACAGCAGCGGCACGACGACGGTCATCCCGCAACCCCTCCATGGCAGGGACAGCCTCAATGGTGACGCGATGGCAGGGCAACCTCGATGACAATGATGATGAGGGGACCGTTGCTTCGCGTTTTGGGACATAGCCTCTCCAACGCGGTTTTGCCCCTCTCCTCGCGCGTCATGGGGCTTCCTACTGATGACAAGTTCTGACGAGGTTCGGGTGGACAAATAAAGCTCCACATTTTTGGCGGAGACTGCTCCACGCTAACATGGCTCGGAATCTCCTGCGCCGGTAAGCTGAGGTCGAACGCCACCTCACCGCACTATGAATGGCCTAATACTCCCTCCACCCCAAAAATATACTCCTAAGAGATTTTAGTTGAATCCAAATTCATAGTATTAGATGTGTCCCATACAACCAAAATCGACTGAGCAAGAGATTTTGGGACTAAGGCCGTGTTTAAATGCTGTAAAGATTTGGTAAATTTTTTTTTGACGTATACAGACAGACATTTGAAGTATTAAATATAGACTAATAATAAAACAAATTACAGATTCCGACTGTAAACTGCGAGACGAATCTTTTGAGTTTAATTAATCCGTCATTAGCACATGTGGGTTACTGTAGCACTTATGGCTAATCATGACGTAATTAGGTTCAAAAGATTCATCTCGTGATTTACAGTCGGACCGTGAATTAGTTTTTTTTTATCCACATTTGATGCTCTATATATGTGTCTAAATATTTGATGTGACGAAAAAATTAGAAGTTGGAAGAAAAAAGTTAGAATCTAAAAGGATTTTGTTTTTATCTGGAGTGGAATATGTAAAACGAGCTGATGACTTTGAATTTTTCTGTGTGGGTCCCACGTAATGGTCCATACCATGCACCCGGACAAAGAACGCCAATACCACGGCAAATCGACTGAGTGCCCCATGGGACCCACTTGCCGGCCCTATGGGACCCACTGGCCGCAAATTGTTCTGTCCACGGATCGACTGCACATTTCCCTTTCTCTACATCTAAATTCATCAATCCAAAAGTTTTTCAAAAATAAATTCATCCACTCAAATTATGTACACCCTCCATGAAAAATCAACTTCTACAGAAGTTGGTTTTTTTATGAGAGAGAGTACTAAGCTATACATGGAAAGAATTGTGGCAGAGAGAGCCACTTCTGGAGGCATCTTGCTAGGGAGGGGAGTTGATCCGATCATACATGTTCCAATAGACTATAATTGAGAAATTATTCATTTGTGTCATGGTAGAGTTAGCCCTTTTCATTGAGGTTAGCCGACAAAAACCTTCTAGTATTAAGGTTTACTATGGCATATAATGAAACTAACCCCGCTGATATTATCGGCTAGCTTTGCCCTTGGCCTTGAGTCATGTGTAGGGTTATGAAGATAAATCAACCCAACATATCATAGGTGTAAAAAGAAAATTACAATATCCAGCTCATGTTACCCAATACCCAGTTGGCAAAGGTTATATTTCAGAGAGTTCTTGAGCCTTACGACTTATTGATTGTGTACACTATCGGCAGAAGCCAAGCTTATAACCTGAAAATATATCTTTCCCAACCCATCACTCGACATCTTGGTTCGTACTAAGTTTGTTCCAGTTCAACGATTTGCCATTGACACTGTCGATTGTTTTGCAATATACCAGTGGGCTGACCTTTTTTTTAAAAGAAACACCCAAAAATACCCTTAACCCTTATAGACATACAATGTTAACAAATAATTTATCTCATTAGAAATTCTAAAATAATATGAAAATATTTATGTGGCCTTCTTATACAACATGGAAGTTTGTGTATAAGTTTTAAGTTCTTTTTGGTATTTTTATTTTTTGAAAAAAATATTTTTTGGGGTATATAAGAGAGAAATTGCTTACACAAAAGATAGTAGCACAAAAATATCTTATATAGCATATGAAAGATGATTTACATTAAAAACTATAACACAAAAATGTATTTTACATAGCATATAACATATAGGTTATATATATACATATTTAAAAAAAGTACAAATGAAAAAACTTGAAACTTATATACAAACTTCCATAATGTATAAGGATGTCACCTAAAAAATTTCATATTTTTTAAAACTTCTAATAAGATAAATCAATCTTAACCTTTTATGTCCATAAGTGTATTTTGGGTATTTTCTAAAAAGATAAGTTGAATGACGTATTGAAGAATAATTAATAAAGTTGTCGGTGTATTATAAAAAAAACAATGTTAATGGTAAATTGTTGAACCAGAATAAACTCAGTAGCATAAAATAGATTTCCTAAGTATAAGGATTTAGGTTCCATTCTAATCTTCAACTCAAAATTACAATTTTCTTGTTTCTCAGTAACACGCTTTATAAATTGCTAAACATTTTTTTTTGCAAAACTATTATAGAAGCTTCTTAAAATAAATCAAATAAATTTAAATGTACAATAACTAATACTTAATTAATTATACAATAATGATCTATCTCATTTTTTATGCTGAAAAACTAAGTGACTAGGGGTGAAAACGGACCGGATTCAGACGGATAGTGGTCATACCATATCCTAAACCATATTTTCAAGTGGATTCGGAGCGGGTGCAGATAGTGTCCAGATGCGGATGTGGAGCGGATTATTTCGGATGCCGGAAATTGTGCAGAATCGGTTCGGAAAGTTTCCATATTCGTTGTACTATGAAATGTCCCATCCAGTTCTAGGTTGCTATATTATGGGACGGAGGGAGTACATACTTAAGTGCTAAACAACATTAAACAACATGAATACATTTCATGTTGTCCATAATTTAAAAATACAACTGCGCAAGTGTGAGTGTGTGACATGACACGGTGAAAGACTTAGACTAAGAAAATCTAGGTTAATTGATGAATTAGGCCATTGGATGGACCAACTTATGTTACATGCAATAGATAGAGTGGTTACATGTGTTGATAATTACGAATTATCTGGAAAACGGCCTATTCGGATTTTATAGATACCGTATCCGCATCATACTATCTACATCCACATCCATATCAACCGGATTTTTAAAAGTCCATACCATATCAGACGGATTCAGAGTGGATTGGATCATACTATCTGTAACGTTCGAACGCAGTTCCCCAAGGGCGACAAATCCTCCTCTGGGTGAGCCTTGCAAAATGCATCCTCTTTGTTCCTGGTCCAAGTTTGACCGTGGACCTTGCAGTTGAAGTGTTGACCGCAATCCCCTACTTTTCCAAAATTTCCACCGCCCACCAGCCACCACCACCACCACCACCAGCGGGCCTTCACCCTCTTCTACTAGTCTTCTTCCTCCTCTCGCCCTTTCACACCGGAGCCATAGCCGGCGGGAGAGGCCAGCCCGACTGCCAGAGCCTCTACCTACGACTATCCGCGGCCGGATGGCGCCCCGCGTGTCCCTGCTCGCCGCCGGCGCCGTGGCCGTGGCCGTGGTCCTGCTTCTCGCCGCGCCGGCGCGGGCGTCCAACGACGAGGGGGACGCGCTGTACGCGCTGCGGACGAGGCTGTCGGATCCCAACGGCGTGCTGCAGAGCTGGGACCCGACCCTCGTCAACCCCTGCACCTGGTTCCATGTCACCTGCGACCACGCCAGCCGCGTCGTCCGCCTGTGAGTTCCTCTCCCTCCCGAACCCCCCCGCCGCCTCTTCAAGATTTTCCAACTCCGATGCCCAAATTGTTTGGTCCCCGACCGTGCGAAAGATTGCTGATTGGTTCTCCACTTCTCTTGCTTATCGAATTTGGAATCTGTCAACTGTGCGTGCTGCTGTGATTAATGGTCGGGGCTTAGTTTCCGTCTATTCTAAATTAAGTCAATTAGGTGATCATCTGCTGCTAGCTACGTATAGTTATTACTGGTTTGATTTGTTCGATGAACTCGTCAAAAATCAACACTTGGTTCAAGATCTCGACGCACCAACTCTTCTGCAATAGCAGGTCAACTTATAATTTGCGGACTGGCAAAAGAAATGACCTTTAATTTAGTCTTTCAATTGAGTTGCTTCTTGTTCACGAATTTCTTGGTTTGCTGCTCCGGTAGCAAAAATCGTGTTCAGAAGGTAGCAATCCGCGTGTTCAGAAGGATCGCACACTAAATCCTTAATGGTCTGACTATTTTATTTGTGGTTAATGTTTCAGGGATTTAGGAAACTCCAACATCTCCGGCTCGATTGGCCCTGAGCTAGGCCGTCTTGTGAACCTCCAATACCTGTATGGGCATATTACGTGCAAGTTTTTTTCTGTTCAAATGGCGAGAAAGGGATATATGACCATGATTTAATCAGTAAAAATCAAATTTTGATTTGCAGGGAGCTCTACAGGAACAATCTTAACGGTGAGATCCCAAAAGAATTGGGCAATCTCAAGAATTTGATCAGCTTGGATTTGTATGCCAACAAGCTCACTGGAACAATCCCCAAGTCGCTTTCCAAGCTCGGCTCGCTGAGATTCATGTATGTACCATCACCACCTGATTATATTACAGCTCTTGCTTAATACGAAGTCATGTCATGTCTAGTGCAAATAAATGATCGGTGAATCCAAATATCCTGACGCTTGTGATCACAATTTCTTCAACTGATATGAAATCCACAAATCTCTGTTCATTTGGTTTTATGCATGGTTAAGTAGTTTTTTCTTATACCAATGCACATTTTTTGTTAGATAATGTTACCAATGCACATTTAAGTAGGAGTAACTTTTATCAAAAGAAACAGGAACTAAGGAAGTAGGCTTCAACTCATTATTCATATTTGTACAGTGTTTCATATGCTACCACTGAAAGCTTTTGGTTTGTGATATCAGGCGGTTGAACAATAACAAGCTTGCTGGATCAATTCCAAGGGAGCTGGCCAAACTATCCAACCTGAAAGTCATGTGAGTATAAAACTATTTATTTTAAATTAGTTATTTCCTTGACTCTCTATGGTTACTGAATACTGATTGCTCTAAGTTCTTGTGAAATGTAGTGACTTGTCTAACAATGACCTCTGTGGAACTATTCCTGTTGACGGTCCCTTCTCAACCTTCCCTCTTCGAAGGTATACCTTAAAAGTTAATTTACTATTGAAATGCATTAGGTTGAATTTGATGCTTGACTAAAACAAATGTCAGTTAATTCTTACATTGCCCATTGACATGACATTTGTGATTTGTATTGGTTAAGTTTGTTGGAATGGTTTGAGTCAAATAAGTTTGGTCACTATTTTGCTACTAGTTTCGCGGAGTTTAGTTCTAAACTTATTCTTCAAACTTCCAATTTTTCCATCACATCAAAACTTTCCCACACACACAAACTTTCAACTTTTCCATCACATCGTTCCAATTTCAACCAAACTTCCAATTTTGGCTTGAACTAAACACACCCTTTGTATCCCTCATTACCACTGGACCTTTCACATAAACTGACAGCTAACTCATCTTATTCTGCAGCTTTGAGAACAACAACAGGCTCAACGGCCCAGAGCTGCAAGGTTTGGTTCCTTATGACTTTGGATGTTAAGAGCTCCATGTTGGTGAAGTAGCACAGCAATGCATGTCGTCCGTTGATAAATGGAAAAGAATATAGTAGTACAAATAGGAAAGCTAGCATGTATGTTGTGAGTTCACATATGCAGCAGAGCTGCAGAGCTAAAGAGGGAAGGTTAATGTACCCAGGCAGCATGAACAAAGAATGTATTCAGAGAAGTTTTACTTATATTCATGATACAGGTACTATGTATGTAAATTTCAAGCTGCTTTACTGCAGTCGTGTTTTTAGGTGATGCAAATCCTAGCGACACGAATTAACGTACATATTGTACATTCTCCCAGTCCCACCAACGGTTGAAATACCAGCATTGCATGTTAAAAGAATCAGAATACATGAGAGTAATTCAATTATCTTAGTGGAAAAAAAGAGCTAACTACACAATCAGGTATCAGCTCTACATAATGAGCTTGATGCTGTTTATTATATCATGCCTGACATAGGAAGCGATTACAATATTATTCATGAGATAAAAGAACACATATGCACACTATTCTCGTTAAAAAAAATGGCTGATGATGTCGGTTCACTAGTGATTGTTAAATCCTGCAAAAATGATTTATCAACCAATCAAACCCATCGCTTGGTATTAGACTCATCTTCTATCAACCATTCTACTCAATACAATGCCCCCAAGAGCACAACCAAAATTGAACACTGCAACTCGAAATGCAATGGTTATACTGCAACTATTTCGCAGATGATTCTGCTGGTGATCTCCCATATAGCTGGAACAGCAAAGAGGATTTCAACATCTGAGGTTCCCTCTCAAGTGCTGCGATCACATCCTTCACCGTAATGCTCCGGGTCACTTTTACGTGTGATGATCTTCTAACACCACCTAATGAAAGAGGCACAAAACTTTAGGGACAAACGTCTAAATACAAGGCATGTCACAATGCATGTGGTGTGTAATCTACTCTTATGAGGCTTTGGTCTACTAGAAAATGACTCGCATATTAAAACATTCACACTAACTGGATACAAGGTGATCTTGTCCTCTTAAGAACTCACCAAACACAAATCTCAGGGTCTACAACTACAGATATCTACCAACCTTTTGCATGGATGCATTACTAAATGCTTATAACCAAAATATTAACTATCCCACTCAACCATCAAGTGGTTTTGTTCAATTGACTGACTCGCTTATGCACATTGGTTACTACAAATATAATAAACAACGGTAAAAATACAACAGTTTATCGGGGTCCAAGCATTGAAAATTAACCTGTCTTTTCAATTTCCTGTTGTTCTCTTGAACCTTTTCCAGGTTTCGGTGAAGACGTACGAGGCAACATGTTGCCTGGCATGGAACCAGAAGAACCATCACCATCACATTTGCTCTTCTTTTTTTCAGCCATGAACTGCCACCTTGAAAGCATGTCATCTCCGCCTGCTGCAACTCGTGCAGCAGCATTTGCAGCTGTTGTTCTCGTTTTATCATCTTCCGCCTTATAGGTCTGCAAGGCATGAAAATCATCAATATCTATAGCATACTATGTTTATACAACTGTGCAAGTATCGCCTGAGTAGTGAAAAGACACTAACCTTAGCATGCTTTGATGTGCTACGACTCTCATTCTTGTCCTTCTCTGAATCAACCACAGCATTGTCATCTCCCTGCATTTAAAAACATGATCTTCATTCAAACCGCACAAATCATAGTACTAAATTGTGAAACTCAGGCCCAATTTATGCCAATCAACATACTACGCAAAGGAAGGATGACTAATTATCACATCAAATCAAATACACTCTAGCAACCTGTACAAGGAGAGAGAACACAAATGGACGATGGAGATTAAATGAACTGGAGCACCTTGCTGCACAATAGCAAGCCATTGCTACATCTACATTTAAGTCAACCCCCTTACATGCTACAACTTTTGACATCTTTGATCCACCTGCCAGCCAGTCTCTATGTATTATACTACGTGTGAAAAGATATACTGAAATTCCAGCTGAAACAGCATGCAGAACTAACATCACTCTGTTTCCTGATTCTTTCAGCATCTTCGGCCAGCTTTTTGTCCCACTGTTCTCTAGCTTCTCTGTTCACCCTCAAAATGTGACTACGAACATCTGAAGACAAAGGATAAATTCGATGTCTTGATTTTTCAAGATCAACCCTCTACACAAAAGAAAGAACAAAATGAATTAGTATCTTAAGTAGAATTCTTTATTTGGAAAAGATCCATGAAATTAAGCCATCACACCTGTTTTGAAAGTCTTATTGTATTGCTTATGAATCCTCGTAACCGCTCTTCAACACACTGAATAAAACTTACGTTAGATTAGGAACAAAACAACTCCGGGAAGGGCGTTGCTAAACAGTAGCTCACCATCGATAGACATCGCTCCACGTCACTGCCTATGCTCTTCAAATTGCATTTCCTCACTGCCAAAACACCAGCATTAGATAATAAAATCATAAAAGACCCCTATCAAGTTAATTATTCTCGAAGGTCAAAGGTATTAACTGATCTCTGCTAATTTTTTTTTCAGAGGACCCTTTTGTAGGATGAGTTTTTCTTCTTCAAGTTGTACGACCATCCGAGCAGCTTCTGAAACTCGACTCTCCTCCTTTGGAGCAGAGAAAAGTTGCTCCTCTTCTTCCTGGTAAAAAGGGACAAGTTATGCAAGTAATGTTAACTGAATAATGAGTACTCTAAGGTATGCAGAAAGCAAACCATCAGAATAAAAGCACATCAAGGAATATACCCTCAGATTAACACCACTAACTGCAGTAACATCATTCAGCTGGTCAATACTTTGATCATGATAACCTCCGGATGTCTTCTGCTTTTTGCTGGCACAATAGAAAATGGCATCAGAAACCATAGAGCAAGTATGATTAGAACGAGGTCATTAACTCAGTATAGCCATTGGAATTACCTAGATGGTGGAGGGGATGAGCCTAAAGCGTCCAAAGGTTTCTTCTGTCCAGCAGATGCCTTCTTTTGAGGTGTTTTAGAAGCTGCTGCAGGGGGAGGTGTTTGTGTAGCAGGTTGGATCTAATGATAAAAAAACTCTCGTAAATACTCTGTCAATATTCTGTACATAGTTATATTATTAATATATTAATGCAGTAGGAACCACTCCTGTTTTCTTGTAAAAAAATAAAATATTGGTTAGAGCACAATAACAATATCGTGCATTACTGAAACACTTAGCTTGAACGAAAAAAAAAAAAAGTTAAACCCAACAGAAGCTAGCATGTGGCCAAATGGATAGAGGTGCAGATGAGCACCAAGCCCAGGGAAGTTCAGCACCTAGCAAATTTTTGGATTACACATGTGTGCACTCAATGGGCATACACTTGCTAGAGTTCTGAGAGATTTTCAGTTCTTCTGGCATTTTCCAAGTGTGTAGACATGTGCACAATCACATGTGTAAGGTGATGTGACTGTGGTGCATGTACTTTGCATGTTCCAATGTACACTAAAATAAATAAATAAAACCCAGCAAGAATAATTGAACAAATGCAAGCAAGCATATGCCTCTATGCACATCATAAAAGGCATATTTCATTTTTCCAATAAAATATAATAAATTGATATCCATATTTTTCAAACTCATGTGGGGGCCACTGCTTATCAGTAGTTCTGATCAGGACCAAGTTTTACATAAACCGATCAGATCTGAGATTTTTAAAAAGTACTTTCTAGATTTAAACATTGGCAATAGGCCCAAAAAAGATCAACAGTAAGACATACTCGAAAACAATTGCAAAATCACACATTCAATGAAATAGTATATCATCAATTATTTCACAAAATTCAAATGCTTTTTTCCATCCTCCAGATCGATTCAACCATTGATGCCTACATCAAACTACTAAGCTTCAATTGTTAGATCCTCCTGACTTGTAAAACATCTTTTGCTTAGCCCATTTGCATAACTGTGCACTGTCACTCTGACATATAAATCTATTTCTTAGTACAAACTATATGTTTGCAGTGATGCGTGTTATCATTCTAAAAGATATGAGAATAATCATATATGTTTAAAAGAGAAGATATAATTCTACGGTTTTATTTTGAAATAGCTATGCTTGGCTACAGCCATCATTTGACCAGTTCCTCCTGCCTCAGAATACAAACTGGATTTTCTGGTTTCTAGTGCAAACATCAGGAGTATGAACTTGTAATTCTCAAACTATAAGTATACTCAGACCAAGTTTATAATTCCATCTAGCTGTTGCTCTAACTTAAGCCAAGGTGAGCAAAACTAACTTAAGCTTGATCAATTATTAATAACCATAGTTATTACCAGTGTATCTTAAGCACTGTAATATACTCTGGATATGCTATATGTACAGATCCCACATGAGTCTCAAATAGGCAAAAATAAACATATCAGTAAAAGCATAAATACATGTACAATTGGAACTTTGGCATTAGTAAGATCATCATATCTGAGCATTCATGTGAAAATATACAAAGAATAATAATGCATTTTTTTCAGCGGGAATCTATCTTCCAGTTATATTGTTTTTCAAGTGACAATTAAGGTCCAACAACAAGTGCACACATCGACGTATACCTGCATGTTTGGTTCTGCTTGAGTGCCATGAGATCGATGAGGCTGACTTGAGTTTGTTGTGTTGAAAGATTTAGAAGTACCTGATGTTGATGGTTGGTTTTCAGGAACACCAACACCCTTACATCCAAAGGCTGTGTTAACTTGATTTACATGCATGGAGGCGCAAAAAAAAAAAAACACTTACGTAGATTCAGAGCATTAGATTTCAGTTACCTTATTTGTGTGTTCTGTTGGAGGGAAAGATTTAGTTTTCTGCTCTTTGTTTACTTGTTGCCATGGAGATATATTAGTTTGCAACGTTGGTCGTGCTGCCATGCTCCCAGTCACTGAGGTAACAGCTCCCTGGACTAATTGTCCTCTTTGACTGGAATCTGCCATTTGTGGTCTAAGTGGTACAATTGGACCTCCAACTGGTCGTGGCAATGGACGAGCATGAATATTATTTGACCCAAGCACAGGTAAAGATGTTTGTGGATGCTGTGTTGCTTGCCCTGGGGCTGATTGTATATTGTGTGGATGGCTGAGCATATGCCCCCCTTTCACATCTGACATGTTACTAGATTCATTAACCTTTTGCAAATTGCTTTCTGAAGATGGATAGCCCATGTTACTTTGCATTTGGCCTGACAAAGAAGGTCGGAAAAAAGGTGGTCTTGGGCTGTCACTAGCTTGGTTTGCAGGAATGGAATGAGCTGACGGATATGATTTGTGCTCAACTCCTGACGTAGAACCACTGGGAACATTCTGCTGATTGGAAACTTGACTTAACAAAGAATAGTTGCTTGGATTTGTCTGTGGATTCCGTTGCCCATGAGCAGCCTGCAGCCAAACAAGACCAGAATAACTCCCAAGAAAAACAGATTGTGATGGTAAGAACAACAATAGCAGTACAGAAAGTGGTGATAGATAGATTGACCTAACTTAAAGAATAGATAGATTGACCTAACTTACGCACTAACTGCACAATGTAAAGTGGCAGTCAGTTACCTGCAATGGGGGAGAGGTCTCAAATGAACCCTAATAAATTGAAACTTTAGTTACCTGAGCTTGATATTGTGCAGCAGCTTGTTTGAGCAACTTATCGCCAACAATAGTCCTTACAACTTTGAGAAAGTGTTCCTTGCTAACTTCATTTTTCTATCGAAAATAAAGGATATCTTTATGCGATAAGTATAGTTGAGTAATCAGTTATGCAATAATATTCTATTTGTTTTTTTTTTAATTCAGCATAGTTCAGGAACCAACCCGCAACTTTGTAAAAATGGACTGAACTTGCATATCCTTGTCTTTGTCAAGGTGCCGTCTCAAAATTGGTATTAACATATGAAATGTAACAACAGGAGGTTTCCCCACCGTAGGAGCACTATTAGTTTGATTTGTGCTTGGTGTTTGTTGACTCCTCATCTGTTGCAAAGGCTGCTTCTGACCAGAATTACTTTGTTGAGAACTGTTTCCTGGCTCTTGCTTAACCTTTGGCTGGTCTTGTTTATTATCAGCACCCCCAGATACCAGTTCAGGCCTAGATGGCTGCTCATTTGAATGATGCAAATGTTTCTGTTCCTGTTGTTGGTTCTCCTGGTTTCCAATTTCATTCTTTACTGAACCCTGCCACTGTTCATGATTGTGGGTGAACATTGAATTGCTCTCCTGAGGCACAAGACCTACATTTGAGATAAATTACTATAAAGTGAATACTTGATAAATACAATCGTAGCATAACTAGGTTTTTTTTTACAGAAATAGCATAACTAGGTTACCAAGAATATGCTAAAATTCTTTTACTTCAAGAGAAATATACTGAATTGCTTAGATGTTTTTTAAAGACAATATGCTGAGGTATTTGATATGGCAAAATTGTGGGCTTCCAGTAACAGTTCATTATGCACCACAGGACTTTGGTCACATTTCCCCCAGTTTAGCATTTTAACATAGAGTGTATCATGTGCGTCTTACCCTCATATTCATATGACCAAATGTTATTGGAAGTTTTCGTGATCATTTGCATTGTACTTTGAGACAGGATGAAGCAAAATATTTTGCAATTTTCACTGATAATTTACTTGATTGCACATCTAGAAAGTAAGTTTTACAAGGCTTAGAACACTCTTCTAATGATACTCTACCCCACTACCCAGTTCACAATATTAAAGAAAAACACATTGCAAACATCTAAAGCTTGTACAAACTATTTGCCACTCAGCTGATAAGCAAACAAGCTACTTATGTGGCAAGTTTTCTAGCTTTAGCTTCCACAAATGTATCTCTCTATTGTATTTGTCAAAAGGGATGAATGCAGATCTGAAGTTATTGCATGTTTAAACAGGCTTGATTCAACAAACAAAACAATCTGCAAATTTCAATAATAAAAATAATAATCTGAAAGCAACATGGAGAACTAACTCCAAGCAATATGATATTTAGTTCATAAATAGTTGGACATCAGGAGAGACTAATCATGCTACCCTTCATTCCAAAAGCCTTGCCACTGTGAGAAGCATGTGCGGGATGAAAATTTTGTACCCTTGAACTACAGTATCTCTGTCAGTGTCAGAGACTAATAGAGTCATTTATCTTTCCGATTGGTATTTTTACCTGCGTTTAAAACACGCATACAGAAGTTGTGAAAATATTTTAACTTAACCCAAGGTTTAAGAAAATATAGTGGTGAAAGTCTGTCTTGTTATGTCCCAAAACAGAAAGAAACCAATGGAACCTACATGCAATTCATTTAGACTGTTTTAAGTGCGACAAGTCAATGAAATATGTGCTCTCTTTCTCCTCTTTCAGTAACTTTAGCAGTATGTCAATGAGTTAACAGCACAGGGAGTGACAAAACATAGGATTTACTTATTTATTGCCACAATGTTTTCTCCAAGCTAAGTGAGGCGAAGCACAGAACCTGGGGTTTTCTAAAACTCACATACAACTAACCCTTTTAAGTACTCGCATTGGTTGGGTGAAAGTGCTTACAATGCAATTTTATTGCTTAATCCAAAGGGATGGCAATCATGTGCTTATGTAGCCAGTCACTGAAGAAGGAAATCTAATGAACCAATAAACTATAGATAGGATTAATATTCAACGCTATCTAAATATAGATACACATTGAACTAAACCCGCCAACCCTTGTCTCAGCTAGCGTGAATGGGCATGGCTGGCTGCACAGAGGCTAGTCCACAACCATGAAAGAAAGGTTTCTAAGTTTGTAAGCTGCAAGTGGCCAAGTTTCAAACCAGGTATAAGTGCTATCCTCAAAAGGTAGTTGTGCTTTTCCTTGAAATTCTATTTTCAGTGGAGTGTAAAATAGAACAAGAGCAGTGATAATAAGGGCAGAAGAAAACATAGAATGATGGGTATGCAAGCTTCATGTTTACTGTAAATGTTCCTACTTTGGTTCTTTGCTTGCAAATTTCATTACTTCCATAACACTAGAGACTTCCACAGCAAAGTGTAATGTTGATACTTCAAGACAGAACACTGTATAATGATTACAGAAGTCAATCAGAACTTATATTCAAGCTCAAGAAATATTGTTTAGGAACTTCGTTTCTTGTAGAACACTAGTGTAAATTTCACCAGCTCTTGTCAAAGTGGGTACCATATATTTACAGAATAAGTTGGAAGTTGCTCAATTTCAAGAAACATATTTATCTATGCCTCTTAATTATTGTTGACTAAAGCAACATAGAATATTGGTATAATAATGCTCGCTGGATAAAGTTCTTTCTATCCAGGCATACTTTACAGACCTGGCAAAGGAAAAGTGGATTCAATGGCACAGCAGCTATTTGAGTTACACAATGTTTGGTTGTCATCAAGCACTAAGAGAATCATTTCTGCAAGAAAAAAGTGTTGTGGTCTACTCCAGATTGTCATGAATTCATGGCCTACTGCTCCATTCCCCTATATGCAGGGTAAAATTCAAGAATCTACATGATTTTTCGAAATCAATAACCACATTCTTTAAGACAAACCCTTATAAACGTCTGTTGTTATTTTCATGCAGTCAGTATTAGGGGACTCAAAGATAAACCAGTAGAAAAGTTTTGTTTTCCTAACAAGCTGTTATGTTCACACCCTTCAGTACTTGGACACTTATTTCCTATAATTTTTCTTCCCTTGATGAATTGTTTTTTTTTTCCATTTGGGTCTCAATATGAAGAATATTTATCTCTATTTTAATATTAGGGATATTAGGGGAAGGCCCTCCATGATGAGAATAATGAGAAAAAGCCCAACCCATTGCAGTAACCAAAAAAAAAATCATAGAAGGCTCATTTGTCAGAATCCCTTCCAACACTAAATCTAAAATTGCGGAACGTTAATTCGAACACTAAACCTAGGTGCCACGTACATAAAAGTTTCTTGATTTCATTATTACCCCATTCCAAGTAGCGCATTGTCCAACCCCCTCGCAGTACAGTTTGTTGATTCCTACAACCCCCGGTTCTCCACAGGATCACACGAATTCGATCCGAGGAAGGGAAACAGTTTCCTAGGGTTAATTGGGGACAGGGAAACTCACCGGCGCCGTGATCCAGCGGCTGGGAGGAGGAGGCCGCGGCGCTGGTGCTCGCGCCGCCGCTGCCCTCCACCTCGCGGTTGAGCGCCGCCGTGAAGGCCTCGACGTCGGCGCCCGAGTGCATGGTCTCGTCCTGCGCAACCCCACAACAAGAGAGAGCCACCATTTGAATCCTTCCTTCCTTTCCCCCCAAAAAACAAACGAATTCGAGAATGAGGAGGGAGGGGTTGGGGTTGGGGTCGCGCACCACGTCGTCGTCAAGGAGCTTTATGAGGGGATCCATGGCCGGAGGCCGCCTCTCTCCCTCCTTGCCTTGCCTTGCCTCGCCTCTGCCCTTGTCGGCTCCAGCAAAAATAAAGGGAGGAGAGGGAGAAAATTGAATATGTACCACTAATAAAAACTGGCTTCGCTGTAACGCCACTCTCGAGATAGGATTCGTCCAGATGCCACTCTTAACACGTGGGTATTCGCTGGAATGCCACTTTTAGTCTTTTTTTCCATTTTGAAAATACTTTTCATCAATTTCAATTTTTCTTGGACTATTATGCCCCTGAGTCAACTGATTCAGTCGGACTCTTTCTTCTCTTCGTTTCAATCTAGCGAGCGAGCGCAAGAAGTCGAGAACAGAAGAGGCAGCGACACCGGCGCCGCCCACCACACCACTGCATCGCCGCCACTGCCTCTCTATTCCAGCCGCCGCGGCGCGCCTCATCGGTCCTGCCCCCTAACAGCTGCGCCGCCGCCTCTCCCCGGCGAGTCTCCTCCCCAGTCGTGCCGCCTATCCTCAGCCAAACCCTAGGCACCGAGCCGGCCGCATCGATGCGTACAGCCATGCCGTGTCCGCCGGCGAGGTGCTGGCGGCGCACCCCAACCACGTGCTGAGCCGGCAGTGCTTGTCGCAGCAGGAGGCGGTAGGCCGGATACACATCGTGTCGCCGGAGTCGAAGCTGGAGCGCGGCGAGATCTACTTCCTCATCCCGGCCGCCTCCGTCCCCGACGCCAAGAGGAGGACGAGCACCGGCGGCGCCGCCGACGCGGGCACCACGTCCGCAGCAAGTCGGAGGGCAGCACCGCCGTCGCCGATTGGTTGGGCAGCCCGGGCAGCGCGTCGCCGGAGAAGACAAGGATGATGAGGGCGCAGAAGCATCACCACCACCAATACCGTCGGTGCATGAGCACCAGGAGCCATGCCTCGCCGTTGCAGCCGCACCTCTCGTGCATCACCGAGGACCCCTGAGCTTAGCTTTCGTTTTTTTTCTTCTCTTCTCTGAATTCATAGTGGTTTTTTTTGCCTCCTGTGTAATTTCCTCTGGTGCCCGGTAGATATTTTTGTTCACTTTTTGTGTTAGTGATGTGCCGATTTTACATTCTGAAATCAACAACTATGTATAATTTTCAAGCACAAAGCGACTTCTATTCTAGTAGTATCTTCTTGTATCTTCGAAAAACATTTTGCAACTTCTTTTTAAAGTTCGTTTGGGTTAACCAAAGCGAACGAACTTGCTCATACAAAATTAAACAAGTCGGTAGCTCTGCTTGATGCGAAATTAAATGAAAATTAAACCGCTTGCAAGTTATATGTATGAACTCATGAAGTGAGGTTGTGTGTCATGGACTCATGGTGTATGTCACCGAGGAGGCGGCACAACTGCGTGGACCAGGAGGAGGCGAGGAGCGGCACAGCTGGGGAGGACCTCGGCACGGCGGCTAGAGCAGAGGTAGCGGTGGCGCAGTGGTGGTGGGCGGCACCGGTGTCGCTGCCGCTTCTCTTCTCGCCTTCTCACGCTCGCCTTATCAGGGGCATAATAGTCCGAGAAAAATTGAAATTGATGAACAATATTTTCGAAATGGAAGAAAGCCTGAAAGTGGCATACCAGCGAATGCCCACATGTTATGAGTGGCGTTTGGGCAAATCCCATCTTGAGAGTGACATTATAGCGAAGCAAGTTTTTATGAGTGGTACATATGCAATTTTCTCGAGGAGACGGCTGCATATTCTCATGGAGAGGGGGACGGTGCCAAGGAGGAACAAAGGCTTTGCTTTGCTTGCTGCTTTCCAAAGGCCGTGACTCGTGAGTATACATGACCTCGCCGCTATCATATTCCTATCTTTGGCCTTCTTTTCATTCTATCTTTGGCCTTCTTTTCATCTGGCCACGTCCTCAGGCCTTCAGTTTCTCTTCTTTTTTACCCCCATCCCTTTTTAAATGAACAAATAACTAGTACTATTAACTTTGACTTTATTGTTTTAATTTTTGTAACCACTAGTTACACTAAAATAGTCAAGTAAAAATTTAATGTTTATATTAAAACATAATATAGCTTAATAACATGAATCCTTCTAAATATTTGTAAATATTTTGAAAAAAAACGATTTGAAATGACTAGCACACGTCGCTGGCTATTTAAAAATATAGGTGATTCCTCGCGCTTTGCTACAAGAATTACTAAGCAATTCTCAATATATTTTTTCCGACAATCAAGTTAGGAGTAAAAAGGAAAAAATAATGAAACATCAAGCTTTATCAGTACTTAGTATTACGAAAAAAATAAATGATACCCGTACTTTAATGTGAAACATATTAATAAGTATACATTAAATATTATAATTTTATTAAAATATTATGCAAATAATGTGAGGGATGATTGTTGGATATGCTTGCATGAGGTTAAATAAGTAATTATTGCTACTGGTTGTAGGATCGAGATGTCGACTAGAGGGGGGGGTGAATAGGCGATTTAAAAACAAATGACACCTAATTAAAACTAACCTATGTTGCTAGGCTTGGTGAGGGTCAACTCTAACTAAGCAACTAAGTTATGTTTTGCAAACCTAGGGTGATAGTGGCTCAATTATATCTCTAGGAAAATAAATCACACTCCTATGTCAATGTTTAGCAATCCTAGGGTGATATGATCTCAAGTAAGTCTCTAGAAATATAAATTGCACAAATGTAAATGCGACAATCAAATGAGACAAGGAGACAAGAGATTTTTCACCGAGGTTCGGAAACTCGCCGGTTTCCTACTCCCCGTTGAGGCGAGGCCAACTCCACCGCTCAACCACGAAGCCACCGCACGCCCCCTTTGTCAAGGGGTGGGCAAGGCGGGAGCCGGCCCACGGAGAGGACTACCCAAGCCTTGATCACTTGGGTAGTTCTTCCTTCACTCCGAAGGTGGTGAACTCCAAACCACTCACAAACCGGCGCTGGGTCTCCTCCACAATCTTCTCAGAGAGGTCACCGGGCAACTCCTCCACAAGCCGTCTAGGAGGCGGCAACCTCCAAGAGTAAGAAGCAATGACCCGGCGTGGAGATGATAAATCAAGTGCCACACTAGCTCTACAAATGGAAGCAATGCACTTGACTCTTGGCTAATTAACCCTCTAACACACTAGATGGATGAACACAAAGCTCAAGTGGGTGTGAGAGAGGTGCAAGGGGTGTATGCAATTGAATTGGGTGCCAAGAGAGTCCCCTTGCTGCTAAAGGGGGAGTATTTATACTCCCACCAACCAAAACTAGCCGTTGGGGGCGAAATCCCCCAACTCTGTGCTCTGCCGGTCTGACCAGAGGTATGTGACCGGTCTGTCAGACCGTGCTACTCTGCAACGGCTAGAAAACTAGCCGTTGTAGCCCTGTCAGAGGGCCCCATCGGCCTGGCCGGTCAGACCGAGGTTGAGTGGCCGGTCAGACCAGCCTCAGCTCGGTCAGACTGCCATCGGCTCGGTCTGACCGAACACGGCTCCGTCGGCTCTGTATCGGCCACCCCAAGCAACACCATCCCGGCCTCCAGGGGGCCGGTCTGACCGGCGGCACACCGGCCTTATGGGCCGGTCAGACCGCCGTTGTGGCGCCGGTCAGACCAGCCAGGGCACGCCGGTCAGACCAGCGAAGGCACGCCGGTCAGACCGCCACTGTGTGGCCGGTCTGACCGCCCTGGTCAGGCCGAACCCAGTGAAAAATAAAGAGATTGTGTGTGAGAGATGAAATGTGAGCACAAGTCTAAATGCATAATGACCTAATGTGGCAATTAAAATCATCTTATTGCTAGGTCATTACCCCCTTGATAGTACGACAAAACTAAAAATAAACTAGCAAATTTGATCGCCCTACACCTCGATCAATTCTAAATTAAAGCACTAGTTTTACCGTCTTCTTTCCCTTTGCTTTGCGCCGTAAATTTTAATCCATCGATAGTCATCCATGCGCACACATGACGTGGGCCTAACTTAAAATATATCTCAATAGCAACGGTTAGTCCACAATTAGCGCTTGCAATTAATTACCAAAATTAACAATGGGGGCCTAGATGCTTCAATCTCCCCCTTTTTGGTAATTGATGACAAACACCACAAATATATATAAACAAACATGGAACATATGGACATATATTGCAAAGGAAATCAAAAGCTCCCCTTAAACATGTGCATAACAATTACAACTAGCAAATATGGAGTCAATGCACATTTCAATTTCACATTTCAACATATCACAAACACAAGAGCAATATCTCAAATGTGAACTTCAAGAAATATTCATCCATGAGCATAAGATGGTCACATATATATCAATATCACATACACCATCTATCATCACACAAGTTCACATCACTTAACCATTCAACTCACATAAGTCACAAATCATCCTAAAAGGGCTCACAAATGAACATAGGCTATTACAAGACCATGAAGGGTCCAAATGACATAGAGAGTTCAACAAAACGATAAAGAACACACAATATATAGTAATAGCCCATACCCATACATAATATAGCCCAAAACACCTAAACCTATTAGATATGAGATGACTAACCTCACTACCACTAATCCCAACCCACAAGACATAGAGCACACCTAAGGACTTTTTCTCCCCCTTTTGGCATCAAGTACCAAAAAGGTCTTCATTCTTGCGGAGGAGAAGGAGGACGAGCCGAAGATGAAGGATGAGGAGCATCACGACGACGATGATATACAAAAGCTTGAGAGCTCTCCAACATTTGGACTCGAGAATCCAATGTACCCACTCGAGTATGCAATCTTCCCACGGAAGCATTCAAGTCTCCAACATTGGTGCGCAAGCCACGAACATCCTCATGCAATGCTTCATGCCCGATAGACAAGCGTTGAATGCTTTCACTTAGGGTATTAATAGCCCCAAGTACCGGGTTGAAGTATTCATTAGGTTGCGTTCCAAAATAAGCATACTATGGATGGAAGAAAGCATTTGGATCATACCCAGGAGGAGAAGGAGGTGCTGAGCTTGAGCTAGCTCCAGGATGAGAAGAGGGCACCGTCCTAGGTGCACGGGGAGCTCCAAGCTGAAGGCGGGGCTTGTACTGCTTGTGCTTCTTCAAATTTTGCCCAGCAGCCCCAAGCTTGTCTTGAATCAACCTCATGATGTAAGGGG